TTTTCATTTCTTTAATCATTTCATTTTCTTCCCATCTTCTTCTCCAATGAGCATTTGTTGTTCATATGAAATGAAGTCAACGAAGCTTCCTGTTTGCCAAGTTCATTCTTGTTTTTTAAGATTTAATCCAAACCTAGATTTTTGATTCTCAAATCTCTGTTTTCTGACTTGCTTACTTAAAAAGATTCATCATATATTTTTTTTTTTTTTGCAATTTTTTTGCTTTTTCTCTGAGCTCAATCCAACCAAAGGAACATCCACTTCAGTCAACTCTGTTCCTGGATCCGTTTCTCCACAGTTTCAGACCAAACCCACATCAAAAGTTTCAACCTTTAAGCTCAAGAAACAGAGCCAAATCTTGAATCTAGTTATGGTAGTAGAAGACCAAAACCCTGAAAACACCGGATCCATCCACGTGGACAAAGGAGAGAGTCGTTTCCTAAATGTAATGTATGGTCCAGTCCGATGGATAAAGATGCTGTCTCAAGAGCTTCACTGGAGCTTTGTATTCGGTGTGGTCTCACTCTACGGAATAAACCAAGGCCTTGGTGGCTCAATGGGCCGTGTAGCAACAGAGTATTACATGAAAGACGTCCAAAAAGTTCAGCCCTCTGAATCTCAAGCTCTCACAGCAATCACCAAGATCCCATGGATCATCAAACCTCTTTGGGGCATTCTCACCGATGTTCTTCCCATCTTCGGCTTCCATAGACGCCCTTACTTCATTTTAGCAGGTGTCCTTGGAGTGGTCTCTATGCTTTTCATCTCGCTTCATAGTAATCTGCACCTTTACTTTGCACTTATGTGGATGACATTGTCAAGTGCTGCTATGGCTATAGCTGATGTGACTATTGATGCTTGTACTGCTTACAATAGTATCAAACAAAGTGCTCTTGCTTCGGATATGCAGAGCTTGTGTAGCTTGAGTTCTTCTATTGGTGCACTTGTTGGTTACTTCCTGAGTGGTATTTTGGTTCATCTCGTTGGCTCCAAGGTTAGTGGTAGTTTCCAATTTAAAATCAGTTGATGATAAATAGATTGACCTAAGTCTCTGGTTTATTACTTAGTTCTCGGTATTTCTGGTATCGGTTTGGTTAAGGGTCTAGAAGATCCAGTTAGTATCTTTGCTAGTTTCGGTTTGGATTCGACTTGGTTCGGTATTGATTTTTAACATCCGGAAAACTCTGTTCTCATTTGGTTCCGGTGTCAATGCGGTTATTTTGGATTGTTCGAGTAAATTATCGTGTATTTTGGGTAAAATAATGAGTAGTAATGGCCAATTCGGATTATTATTTAAAATAAAAATATCTGGATTTTTCGAGTAATTTGGATAATTTTTAATAATATGTTTTTTTTCTCCGACATCAGGGGGTGTTTGGCTTGCTGACATTACCGTTTGCTTTAGTATCAGTGGTGGGGATTGTGTTTAGTGAGTCACATGTTCCTGGTTTCTCTTACAAACAGGTAAAGTTACATTCTCTCTTCACTAACTTGATCTTCTACCAACTTGAGAGTGTTGACTATTTTTGTTAGTATCAATTCAGGTAAACCAGAGATTTATAGACGCAGGGAGAGCAATGTGGAGGACACTGAAGTGCTCAGATGTATGGAGACCTTGTCTGTACATGTACATTTCACTTGCTCTTAGTTTGAACATTCATGAAGGTCTCTTCTATTGGTTCACAGATTCTAAGGATGGCCCTTTGTTTGCTCAGGTACTTCCCTAAAACAACAACTAGTTTGTCAATATATTGAGACTTGAGAGAGCCTGTTTTGTTTCAGGAAGCAGTTGGTTTCATTCTCTCAATTGGTTCAGTTGGGTCTATTCTAGGAGCAACATTGTATCAGTTAGTCCTAAAGGACCATCCCTTCCGTGGTCTTTGTCTATGGACACAACTTCTCTTTGCCTTATCAGGAATGCTTGACCTCATTCTTGTCCTGCGTCTCAACTTGAGACTTGGCTTACCAGACTATCTATTTATAGTAGTGGATGAGGTGGTTTCTCAGATGATAGGACGTTTAAAATGGATGCCTCTTCTTGTCCTCACTTCAAAGCTTTGTCCTCATGGAATTGAAGGGACGTTCTTTGCGTTGCTTATGTCTATTGACAATGCAGGCGTCATGACTTCTTCTTGGCTTGGAGGAGTGTTGTTGCATGTTCTCAAGGTGACTAGGACTGAGTTTGGTAATCTTTGGCTTGCGGTTTTGGTTAGGAATGTGATGAGGCTTTTGCCGCTCTTTGTGTTGTTTCTTGTGCCTAAGGGAGATCAGAACACGTTTAAGCTCCCAAGTGAGATCATGGGGGAAGATCCTGAAGAGGGAGATGAGAAAGAAGAGATGAGAAATTTGGAGATGGCGTCTCTTGTTCATTATGATGATAGAAGATAGCTACTACAGTGTTCTCTTTTTGTAGACAAACTTTGAAGCAAATGCTTCAGGTTTTTACAGCATTTTCTTTGAACTTTAATTGCATTGTTACAAAGTGCAAAATTTTCTCAGTATACATAACATGTGTTATCATTTTTTTTGAGTCAATATGCATAATCCTAAAAGTCAACTAAAAAGCGGATGGAGTGTCAAATTTGGAAGTAATAATTTTTCTTATCTATAGTAAAATAATATTTAGTTTTAAACAGTTTTGAAGCATTGAAAAGCATGATAAACAAGTTTTGGATGTAATAATATTTTTTGTGTTACAAACAAAAAAAATTATCAAGAATTCTTGTTTTATTAAACAATAGTTTCATTCATTAGTTATTACTCCATCCGTTTCATTTTAATTGTCGTTTTAGGTTTTTGCACACAGATTAAGAAAATAATAAATTTTGCATGTTTTCAAAATAAAAACACATTTACCTATACACCTAACTATATTTCAACCAATGAAAAATTAAAATGACATTTAAAATCAATAAATTTTGCATTGAAGTTATAAAAATACATTTATTTTGAAAGGAAAAATTTTACTCTAAAACCGACATCTAATTTGAAGCAAAGGGAGTACATACTATGGCTTTAAACCTTGATATAGGCTTTGGCCCTAATTAAAGTATGATAAGCAAGTCTTTAATGAACCCATCTTTACGTGAGACGTTCACGCATGATAGTTTTGGAGCTAATTAAAGCACCCAAAGTAACCATTTCTTTTGGCTAAAACGTTACTCCCTCTGTTTTAATATAAGTGTCACTCTACAGCTATGCACACGGATTAAGGAAACAATTAATTTTACACATTTCCCATATAAAAACACAATTACCCACACACCTAACCATATTTTAACCAATAGAAAAACAAATTACATAATAAAATTAATAAATTTTGCATTGAAAATCGAAAACGACACTTATTTTGTAACACAAAAAATTCTCTACAACGACACTTAATATAAAACGGAGGGAGTAATAATTAATATTCATATTAATGAAAGAGTTAGGTTCACAAAAAGAAAAGACAAAGTAACTTTTTATTAATTGTAAACGTTATAATAACTTTCATAAATCGATCAATATATATATATATTACATACGAATCCCAAAAAATAGCAACCAAGACAAGCAGAAGAAAATAAATTGTTTTTAATTTGACCCCACAAAAATGGAGAATAAGGCAGTAGTCATGTGGTTTCTCTTAATCACTACTTTGATATCATCTACTTATCCAAGTTTAGCCATAGAATATGAAGACAAACCATTGCTTGATCCTAACACCAGTCTACAAGAAGCATTTGAATGGTCTCCGGGTTCAAGAGTTCCGTTTAGCAGTGAACCAACACGAGACGCAGAAAATTTCAATATGTTTTGTACTAAGACGAGGGATGTGAAGTGTGACGATGAAATGTTTCTTGATCTTTATAAAATCAAACCTATGTCGAAACAATGTTGTCTGATCATATTGCACAATGGGGTACATTGTAACATGTTATATGCGAAGATTAGATACAGAATGTATCAACGAAGACGTTCCGTTTCTAAAAGTTTTCTTTTCAGGGCTAAGAAACTTTTGAACAGATGTTCTGCTGTAATTGGAACTCCTACACCATTGTCTGGTTAAAATGTTATGAATAATCTATTTATATAAAATAACGTTTTTAAATCTTCAATTCAACGTTTATAATAATTCAATATCAATATATAATTTCTGATTGTTTTCTTTTTTCATTCTGTCAAATATGAAAACAGCATACAGCATATCCAATCAATTGCAAATGCGATTATTAATTACTCTCTACCTTGATGTTTTAACTTTTGCTTTTGTAGTTGAAAGATTGATGCATTTTTCTTTAAAACTAAAACATAAATCAAAACCTAGAAATAGGAGTGATACAACTTTATTGGGAAGTAACCAACACTTCAAAACAAAACAAAACAAAACAAAAACAACATTTCAAAGTTTGTATTTAATTTTTATTCATATGTGTGCATACATTAAGTAAATATCGTGAGTTTTGGATGGAGTTTAAGATCAGTTCAGACAATAAGTCATAGATCGTGAATCAAAATGCTCAAAAAGAATTAAAAAAAAAGAACATTAAATGTCATTAGGGTCCTGGTCGGGTTCGGTTAGAATCTGATATGCAAAATCGAAAGCTAGGTCAACGATGATGAAACGGTTAGTTTCTACGTTATACTTATACACAGCACCATCTCTGACAGTGAAGAAAACGTTACTTAATATCTATAAGGGCTTAAGGTTCACATCAGTTTGACCAATTAACTCTAAATAAAAACGTTCTTAATGAGTCCATATTTACACGAGACGTTACAAGCAAACAGAGCCGTGCGAGCATCAATAACACACATAAGCAATTAAAAAAAAAATTTTGCCCTCATCATTCATAGAAAAAAGATGTTTAAGCAATACCATTTTCACAATAAAACCCCACAAACTGAATAATAATTCTAAAACATATTTTTCTTCTAATATTTTACATAAATTCATTGACTAAACTTTCAGAACAAACTTTTTAAATAGCTTTTTTATAAACAAAATAGCCAAATCACTTTTTTATAAACAAAATAGCCAAATCACTTTTTTTTGTGAGAGAACTGAACACAAATAATATTTAAAATGCTCTGTTTTTGAATAACTCCTCTCACCAACTGCAAAATATTTGAAAATTATTCAAGTGAATAATAAAATAATTGAAAAGAAGCTTATTAATTTGTAAGAGAATGTGAACTGTAAAAAATTTGTCAATATGAATTATGAAGTCGTGATTGTTCATGTAGAGCCAATTGGTTTATTAAAAATTTGCTTCTGTATTGTATTACAGATCAGAGAAAGATCCAAGTCGGTACCGTGAGGGTTACAGCAAGCTAAGATCATGGGGTTATAACTCACTGGATCTGTATAAGGTCAGCGTTGGCGTTTTTTTTGCTTTGTCTATGAACCTTGGAGAAACTGATGAGCTGATTTGGGGTTTGTACTTTGTAGCATGAGTTGCTTCGAGTGATGTATCCAGTGTTTATTCATTGTTTCATGGATCTAGTGGGGAAAAAGGACACACTCAAGAAGGTACTTCTCAACAATACAATTTTCAAATTTTGAGTATATTTTTTAAGCTTAGTATATATATACAATCATCCATAGTCGCCGTGCCTACTCTTGTATGCGCACAAAGACAGAAGCAGACTTATGGGCGCTGTTTTGGACGGTGGAATGTCTACATAACTTACATTTCTCCAATGTTATTTTTGAGACATCGTCGGAATGCCTACGTGATTTCCTCACAAAACCGGAAGATCATCCTAATTTCAGCCATCTCCGACACGATATATCCGTTCTTCTTGCAAGGATAGAGTTTTGGAGCCTCGATCACGCACATTCGGAAAGAAATGAAGCTGCATCGGCAATTGCTGTTAGTGTCACCCGAGATAATCGACCTCATTCATACATCGCCCGAGATGCACCGATATGGCTTCAGCATCTACTCACTTTGGAAGCTCGACAGTAATAGGAGATGGTGAGATTTTCTTCCTTTCTCCATTTTTGTGCGGTGTCTACTGACATCCTAGTCCATTTCTTGTTTTTGCTTTGTATCACAACGTTTCTTTGTACATGTTCAAGTGTTATAAAAAAAAAAGTATATATACTTTACCTGTATTCCAGCGAGAGCCTTCTTTAACAGCTTCCGCAAAGATCATGAAATGATACATTTACGAGATCTTCAGAAGCTGGAAGGCGTCCTTGCTCCATGCCATCTAGCGGTTTTAAGTTGTCTTATATGGTCGTATAAATGTTGAAAATGGATTTTGTTTCAACTGTCTTGTGATGGATCTCTGGTTGCTGGTGGGTTCTCAGATTCATGAATAAAGGTATCTTCTTATTCTTGATTGGTTGTATATGTTTCCTTTCGGCCATTACTTTGCGAGCTGTTCTCATGATCGTACTGCGAGGATTTGGTCAATGGACCGAATACAACCTCTGCGGATGATAACATGGCATCTCTCTGATGTTGATGTGACTTTAGTTGTTATGGATGAGCCTTTCAATGTATTTTTTAAATGCATTTTTGATTTCAGTGTGTACAGTGACATCCCAATTGTAATTACATTGCAACGGGTTCTAGTGATAAGACTGTTTTAGACTCTGGGATGTTTAAACAGGGGAATGTGTGAGGATATTCATTAAGACACAGGAGTATGGTTTTGTCATTGGCGATGTCACCAGATGGGAGATATATGGCGGCCTCTGGTGATGAAGATGGAAACCTAATGATGTGGGAACTCAAACAGACTGAGATCACTCAGAACTTTCCCCACCAAGTCCACACCAGTTCACGCTCTCTGTGTAAGTTATGCTCTCTTTAATAGTATTAGTGGCACCAGTTGTGGAACATTCTGATCTCTTTTGCTTCTCTGGATTCTCTGCTAAGTCTATCATCTTGTGCTTGTGAATAAAATTTATTCATCCCTAAAATTAATGACCAAAAAGGCTTTTGATTAGAACCAAAATTTGAGGGTGTGTGCCAAAGCAAGTATTATTAAACATTGTTTAGATTTTGAAAGATGTTTACTAAGAAAAAATTTGGACTAAGACAAAAACATCTACCATATAGATTTGATTGATTCGTGATTAGACAGTTGTATACTTTTTGGAATAATATGTTTGGGATGTGTTTCTATTTTCTCTTACATTATCTCTCTCTCTCCCATGCATTTTTCACGTTAACTTTTTTTATTTATTTATTTCAGAAACAAATGAATCTGACGTGACGCATACCTAAATCTAATCCTTTTTTTTTGCCATATTCTTACAACAGTGTGCATCAAGGATTACGTGGGAAGTTATTCTTAGAAGAAATAGATGAACTATACATTCAGGAAAGTTATGGAAATTAAGAAGATATGCGTCAACATCTGTTAAAGTAAGATCAGTTGTTCTGTATATCTGCTGATCATGATTGATGTAGATTATATCATACGATATCACGTGGAATGTTATGTTAGTATACTCTTTCGGCAACCATAATAAACTTCGCCGACACACGTTACTTGCCGATCCAAAATTGATATCATTTTACTGATCATTCAAAGCAAACTTCAATTAAGAAATAACCCCACCAAGCATACAATATAACTATGTGAAAAGTATGGGGTTAGGCTTCACGTAATGCAGTTTACTTGTAATTTGGTAATAGGCAATCCGATTATTTTTGGTATTAATTAAAAAGTATTTTAAGCTCGAACTAGATTTTGACCCGCCCTTATAGAGGGCGGGACAACCGTTTTTGCTTTAAATTTATGATGTTGTTAGATTATTCACAAGTATGTATAGGCATGAGTATCCGGGTTCAGATAGATGGTCGAAAAGAATTATGGTTTAATCCAACATATATAGATTAAAATCTTTCCTAAATTCCATAAACATAGGTTTTGTGATTTNTGATGTTTACTAAAAATAATAACTTGATCATGTTATAATCTCATTATTTATGCTGCAGAAGTTGATTAGAAGTGGTATTTAACCATCAACCTCTGAATTTATTGTATTTTCAGCTAAAAATAATAATTAAAATGGTTTACCATGAATATAGGTGTGGCAAAATCTGTAAATACTAAAGTAAATTAAGGGGACCTCAAAACAGGTATTTTATCTTAATAGTATAGATAAGTAGCATTCAGTTATTATGAATTCGAATTTGGTTATTTTGGTTTTTGGTTTGGTTCGGAATACAATGTTATGAATCTAATAAATGTTTGAGTTCATTTCAATTATGGTTCCCATTTTTGGATAATTTTGAATAATTCAAATAAAAAACCATATAAGTATGATTTTGGTATAAATATCAGATAAAGTAAATAAATTTAAATTTTTTTGACAAAATATATTCATGTTTATAGCAAATGAGGATAATTAAAACATTTTGGATAAAAATAAATAGGAAAACCCTGCTTTGTGGGTAGTTCAGTTTATAAGTAGTGCTTTTAGAGTATTGATAATTTTAAAGCTAAATATTATTTATATTTTTGGGTATATAAACTGTATTTTGGATAGTTTGGTTCCAATTTTGTTTCAGTTTATATAAGAGTTTTTTAGATATTGTGAGCACTGGTTTAGTTTTTGTTTCATTTTTTCGTCTAGTATCCCTTTTTATACGATTTGTACAGAAATATATGGAAGTTGTTTTTTAAAAAAGAAAATAAAAATTGCTTTTAAAAAACAGAAAATATGAAAGTCGATATATATTGTAAATTTATATCTTTTAAAAACGATATTCCGTAGGACTATTTGTAAATTAAAATATATATTTTATGTCGCTATTGAGTTTTGACGTATATAATTAAAAGTAATTTATATTGTTGTCTTATCGTAATTTATGTTGGGTGTTTATGTACCGTTACATTTTTTGGATCGGTTTAGTTTGAGTAATGTTAGATTGGGTTTGCATTTATATTTTTCCGAGTTATTCGCGTTTGGGTGTTTATAACCCGTGTAAGAACCATATATTTTCCGGATAAGTTCAGTTCGAGTGATGTCAAATTCGGTTTGCATTTATATTTTTTTTGTAAAACCCGAAGTGAAACCAAATTATAAATAGTTGAGTCATGTTTAAAGCCATAAATCTCCAAAAACTTTGAAAAATCAAATTAACCCTGGAAATACAAAAAATTAGTTTAGGTAATTAAAGATTTTGTATATCATAATATACAAATTATATTATATACTTTGATAATTAATATTTTGTTATATTTCAAATATTTGGATACTTGTTAGGTTATCGGTTCGATTCTGATCTTAGTTTTGGTTTTAGTTTTTTCCGTTTTGGTTCGAGTTTGATTTTCTTATTTGGATAATATTTTCAAAACTAACTTTCTAATTAGTTTTCTTATCTGTTTTTAATACCTATGTTATTAAAATATTCATTCTTATTTTTAATCTCAAAATATTTTATAATATCACTTTTGTGCAATTGTGCTTTTAAAAGATTTTTTCCTTCNTGCCCCAAATATTAGATTTCACCTACCTAAATTTTAGTTTCATAATTTGTTATATAAAATTAAATAGTAGTTGTCAAAAAATAACACTATTGTAAATGCTTAGCAAATCAAGTAATGGCACCCGTTCTACATTAGTCAAAGTTCAATTTATGACTTTATAACTGAATAGGTTAAACCATTATACATTCCATCTCTTAATAAAATATTTTATTTATTTAATAGAAACACGATAGAAACAATAGTCGTAAAATATCAGCTGTAACCCGATCATTTATACAACAAATGATATTAATATTATAGTTTTAATTTTTATCCACTTAAATATATATTAATAATTTTAATATCTTAATTTAACATCTAAATTTATAAATAAAAATTAATGAATATCTACTGAATTTTTACTTTTATAATATTCTGTTTTAAAAAAGCTAAGGTAAGAAATAAACTTCAGAAAACCTCAAATATAGTTAGAGTGTATGACAAAAGGGATGACTAATTAGAAGTTAAATGTTACCACTTACTGATGATATTATAATTGTATAAACCTAAAACTTTGGACGTCCAAAAAATATATATTAGAAGGATAAACGTTTCTCTTATTATCCCAAACAAACTCAAAATAATATAGAAAAAAGTCCGATATATTTATGTAACAAATTTTAGATAAAAAACAATTATTTTCTGCTAGTTATTTGAATATGTCTGTCACGAAAACATAATCTTTTACAAATCATATTCATATTAATATATGTATCATTAACAATCTAAACTATTAAAATAGAAGTAAAATTTAAAATTAACCTTAAGAATTAAAACTCATTTACATATCTGTGTCTTTCAAGTTATAAATAAGCATAAATTTAAGAATTAGTTTTCCCCCCCCCCCCCTTAAATTTAAGGATTTAGTTTAATTATTTTTACTAACATATAGTAACATTAATATTTCATGTCGAGAAATAAAACATTGGTATAAATTATTTTCATATATCTCGACCATTACAACTTAACGATACAAAAATTCATAAAAAAAATGTAAATCAATACTATTAATACAAAATAACTATTTATGTACTCACAAGTAATCTAAGTTGGACCATTTCATTTATTTAATTTTTATAATTTCGAATACAACAAACTTATTTATTATTAAATAAACACATAATCTTAACACAATATTTAACTATTTTCAAAATAAGACATCAAAAAGATATTCCTAAATATTTTCCTAAGATCACATTTTAACAATATCTTTTAATATCTTTTATTTAAAATATAAATATTTATTGGTTTAATATTATTTTAGTAATAAAACTCGTATATAATATTAAATTTAATTGAAATGAATACTAACTCATTTGAATTTATAAAATACAAAATAACCTTCTATAATATTTATATATAAATATTTCATATTTCTAATTAAAAAATCATGCTAAATATTATTATCAAATGACATAGCTGTAAATACTTTCAAAAGAGAAAGACACTTAAAATCTTTTATATAAATATTTTAATTCATATAACCATGAAAATAAAGATATATTTAAATTATGAATACATATGATAAAATAT